ATTTACAAAAAACAAATTATTATTAATGTAATACATTTTTTTGGTAAACTGTTTTCGAAAATTAAGTAACATAATTTTTGTCCGAAATAGGTTTTCTCTATTTTAAACTTGATTCTATGTAAAACCATACTATTTTAAATGATTTATAAAATAATTTTATTTTGAAAAACAGTATATACAGGGTGTTGCATTTTTATTGTTAAAATTTAAAAAGGTGATAGGATATTCAATTCTAAAACAAAAGTTTCCTATAAACATGTATCGAAAAATGCTTGGTAAGGGAGCTACACCCCCTGGAAGGGGGCTAATATGTTTTTGCTAATATTTCAGAAACCATTTAAGATAAAATTACAAAATTTGGTACAGATGATAATCTTTATACACCTAAACGAATTCAAACATCAAATGTCGAAATTTTTAATCAGGGGCGTACGAAACTGGGGGAGTTTAAGGTAAAAAATACCCTATTTATTTTGGTTTTAGTTTCTCGGTACTTTAAGCAACAAAATCTTAAGTTCGATAGTTTATCACAGAAAAGTCTCTCTTGTGTCGATACGACTTATTGTTTTTGAATAAAATTAATTTAAAATTTATGTTACACACCAATAAAACATTCAAATAAATCAGAATTTACAGAATAATAAAAGCAAGAAATTCATATTTTTTAATCAACCTCAACTAATTAACATTACATTACAGTAACAATAATAACATTAATTAAATGAATTTGCCTAAATCTAAAGGAGTTGTTCAAAGTGACCACCATTTTGGTCAATGCATAACTAAAGAAACTAGATCCAAAATAGATAGGGTATTTTTTTACCCTAAACCCCACCAGTTTCGACATTTGATGTTTGAATTCGTTTAAAAACCTATTAGCCCCCTTTCAGGGGGTGTAGCTCCCTTACCAAGCATTTTTCGATACATGTTTATAGGAAACTTTTGTCTTAGAATTGAATATCCTATCACTTGCTTAAATTTACAACAATTAAAACGCAACACCCTGTATATTTTTTACCCACCTCGCATAGTATAATCCCGAAACTAAAGATATCCACTTTTTCGTCGTATTTATTCCCTTTCATCATCTCGGGAGCCATCCAATAGGGATTCCCCACTACCGTATATCTCTTTTTCCTCTCCTGTCTTTTGGGGGACATCCTCGTCGCACTATTCGTCGTATGTGACACAATTCTCGCCAATCCGAAATCCGCTACAATCACAGTCTTATCCTCCCTCACCAAACAATTATGCGAATTCAAATCCCTATGAATGATATTCATTGAATGCAAATAAGCCATCCCTGCTGCTATATCCTTCGCAAAAGACACTCTTTGCTCCCAGGGAAGTGGTTGAGACGTATCATGTATCAATTCCGTTAAAGTACCCCCCGATATATACTCAGTGACCAAATGAAGTCTTCGCTCTTTATACAAAACACCGATAAAACGCAAAACATTATTATGATGTAAACTCCTCAAAACTGCAACTTCTTTGAGGAAATTCTTTTGTGCTTCCTCATCCACACGGTATAGTTCTTTGAGGACCATAACTTCGGCGGTGTCACGTGTCGTAACCTTAAACACCTGACCGAAGAAACCTTGACCTAAAAGTTCACCTTTGACAAGGTCAGAGGCACGAAAAACACGTTGTGGGGGTCGTGATTCAAGAAATGAGTAGGCTCTGGATAATTCTAAACGTTTTGAGTTTGGTGTCTCATCTAGTAGTCGACTCATTGACGAACTACGTTCTTTATCAAGTTGGCGAATGTCAGATAAGTGATTTTTACGTCGCAGCTGTCTAGATCGTGTCCCACTCATGTAACCTTCATCACGTCGTTTAAATAAACGTTCTTTGTTTACAGGTTTGCTAACGTCCGGACAAATGTCACTAATTGAATCGCCTAGATTTGGTTCAGGTTTGGTGACTTTTGTTACTGGAATGTTGGTATCACTGGACGTGGTTGTGAGTGTTTTAGTGTCAGGATCGTGTTCTATGGTTAGTTGCAAGACTGTATCCGAGTATTTTAGGAGATTTTCAACAGTGTCAATGGCAGTGTCCTTGACTGGTGTTCCATTTATTTCGAGAATTTTATCACCAATATGGAGCGACATCAAGTCGTCGTTCATGTCAAGTCTGCGGAAACAAAACAATGTCAAAATGGCGCATAACGCATGCGCGTTGTGATCAAATACCGTACCTATGTGGCAAAATCAAGCAACATGTGTTAATTGCATTTGTTATTAAAGCCAAAGCTAGTCGAATCAATTTTCCCCGTATTTTCCTTACAGAAAAAACAAAATTGGTTAATTGGTTATTCCCCAAAAATCACAATTCCTTACTCTGAAATCAAGCATTTATTTCGTGAATCCTTGGATAGTTTGATTCCTTTTTGTCCCCCGGGAATTTCCACTAATCTAATTGAGTGTGGTTTTCGGATAAATGGACATTTAGTGTTGCGTTTGAGCGGTTGCATCTGTCTCTTGTAGCATTGTCCGCTGAAATAGCACGAGTCACATAGTGATTTTTTCTACAAAGGGATTAAATACCAGTAGAGTTTTGAGCGTTCGACGAGGGCGTAGGAGTCCCCATCGCCGATGAAAGCCCCACATGAGACACAACAAAAGCATTCGGGGTGGAATTTGTGCTCCCCGGCCACCATAACGGGCCCTGTGATTATTTGACCACACTGTTGACATGACTCCCCATAGCGGGACCAATAGTCATCCTTGCAAAACAAAAGACCGTCTTTTTCAAAGTACCAATTGGACAAGGACGCGTCACATGCCGAACAACTGGAATGGAATCGTCATTTGTGCCCCCACTTTGGGGCCCACTTACCGGAAACACTCCACATGCCACTCCTGATTGAGGGCACTGATGACGTCCTCTTCGTCCAGCACGTTGAGACAACCGGCGCAGACATTATCAGGGCCCCCATCTGTAAAACAAAGTTTGACATTTCCAGGAACTGTCACCCACGCATTTTAATCACAATTTCCCAACACTTTTCCCAACGTCACTTTGCACGAAATTGTGGAAACTTGAGTTTTCCACTGATTTTAATGACTTTTCCATTTATTACTCACCGTTTTGGGGCTGTTGTTGCATGTTTTGATTAGGAATGTTGACAGTTAAAAAGTTTCCATCATGGCGACTGCTAAAGTCGCGTTTACACTACACGAAACGTCAAGGTTGGAGAGGAAAAGTGAAAGTCGGGGGGGAAACTTGAATGAAAATTGACTAAAACGTACACAGTGGCGCAACAAAATGATTCATGAAGGATATTAGTCGCTAAATTGTGGCGATTTTTGGCCACGAAGATTGTTTTATTGTGGTTGCTATGGTAATTCAGTGGCGGGTCATTCAAAAATGCCATTTTATACAGTATTGCTAATTGGCGACTTGTGAATAAAAAACACACTTTTTTTAAATCGTTTATTGAACAAGACAGTTGGATCGGTTACAAAAAATTCTATTAAACGTCCCCTTATTATAATTATTGTGCTTCAAAAAAACTTTCTCCCACGCAATTGTCAATCACGATTTCCCAACGTCACTTTGCACGAAATTGTGGAAACTTGAGTTTTCCACCGATTTTAATGACTTTTCCATTTATTACTCACCGTTTTGGGGCTGTTCTTGCATGTTTTAATTGGGAATGTTGACAGTTAAAAAGTTTCCATCATGGCGACTGCTAAAGTCGCGTTTACACTACACGAAACGTCAAGGTTGGAGAGGAAAAGTGAAAGTCGGGGGGGAAACTTGAATGAAAATTGACTAAAACGTACACAGTGGCGCAATAAAATGATTCATGAACGATTTGAGTCACTAATTGGGGCGATTTTTGTCCACGAAGATTGTTTTATTGTGGTTGTTATGGTAATCCAGTGGCGGGTCATTCAAAAACGCCATTTTACACAGTGTTGCCAATTGGCGAATAAAAAACACACTTTTTTAAATCGTTTATTGAACAAGACAATTTGACCGGTTACAAAAAATTCTATCAAACGTGCCCTTATTATAATTATTGTGCTTCAAAAAAACTTTCTCCCCCCTCAAAAAAGTTGTGCCTAAGTAGTGATATAGATTTGAGCAAAGTTTTTGCCGAAAAATTGGAGAGGAAGTAGTGTGTAAGGCATTGAGTTGTTTTTTCGTCACAAAAATCTGCTCAGGTACACGATTAAAATTCGTAATCGCAAGCAAAACATTTTTTTTTTGAGTCACAGCCATGCACTTACCTTGCCCAATCGTACGAATTACGAATTTTAATTAATTACACACTAATTAAGACTAAATCTAGGTCTTGCAAGTAATAGTCTTGTACATCAATTGACTTCTAACATGCATTTAGTATAGTTGATATATTTTTTTACCACATTGATTATGTACAATAGGTAAAGGATATGATGCATGCAAAAAGTGCCCAAAATATACGTTGTCTAGAAGTATACGTGTCCATGTAAAGTCGAGTCCAACGTATATATTGGTCAACTTGCGAGTAAAGTAACCAAAGAGCGTGTCGTGCACTACTATTCAATTGTATCACAAATGAACTTAGAATTTGGGTCGTTTAGGTGCATGCAAGCCCCCTCATGCCCCCACAAAGCGCCTGGCTTTAACTCAGGTTTGATCCCCCCGCCACCATCAACAAAAATACTCAATTTTCCAGTCGTGGGGGCCCCGCAGCCCCCACTTTCTCCTTCAATGTGTTGCATTTCGCTTGCATCATCTTCAATTGCAGTTGCAACGACGAACTCAACTGTTTTTGTAAATCCTGCACTTCGACGATTTCCTTCCGGAGATTTTGATAATTGGTTTTCACTTCAGTCACCGATCGGAGTAGATTGTTTACCTCGATTTCGGCCGTGTCTTCTGAGAGAATCTCGCTCTCGATGTGCCCCACTTGTGTGGCCAAATCGTCCAATTTTTCATCGGTTTGCTTCATCTGAAACGGCAATTTTGGGTATGGGGCACCGGGGGCGGAGGCCTACCTTCGCAGTGAGGTCCTCCATGGCCCGTTCGAGGGTCATTTTAAAGCGGGGGCTTGCCTAATTCGGATTAAATGACAGCTGTCACTAGTGTCAAAAGAGCGACCTCTAGTGCACACGCCACTCAAAACTCAAATCAAAACACAAGTTATGCAACCAACTATACATTATAATTTTTTTTTCTTCAAAATTCTTGGGTTATTATCAGCAAACTGAACAATTATGTAAATCATGTAATGTTTTATTAATAAAATTTTATGAATTTAAAATTGAAATTGAGTTTTTGTGCTTTAAAATTATTATTTGTCTCCTGTTGAAGTTCAAAATTTGTGAGTCTAAAAATTAATTGAATTTTCCTTTGGTTCGTGTAAATTTTCGTTGAAAGCGTTTAAACGCCTCTCCCGATTTATTATTGATGCGTCGACACAATGACTGTCTCTTCCGATAAGAAACGCTTTATTTGAAAATGCAGTGAGCCGTTAAAAAGCGATTCCAACTTAATTACCTATAAACGTCACCAGACTCTTAGTCGAATGCAATTAAGTCTCAAACGAGGGACACTGGAAGTCTTCTTTTATGTAACTTAGAGAAACTTTACCTTCGCGACTTGGAGACGTTTCAATTCTATTAGAAAATTATATTTTTCTTGGCCAATTTAATTAATTTTTGATGAAACAAATTATGTTTTCCCAACTTGGCAACTTCAAAAAGTAAAAAATTTCACGACTTTATTACTTTTTTTTTTTAAATAATGTGACACACTTTTCTTATCAAAGAACACCTCATTAGTGCACCTTATCAATTTTTTAAGGATTTATTATTTTGAAGTGTAAATAATTTTTTGTACTAAATATGTAAATTTATTTTTAGTTCGGAAAATAAACACATTTTTACCGCTTTACGACGTGCCTTATTGTAGATTTTTATTACTGTAAAATAATAGGTAATTTAGTAATCTCGTGTTTTTCCGTTATAAAATAAAAAATACTCGTTACGGAACTGTAAATACGCAAAATATGAGATTATATTTTATGTTTTACATTTTTTTCAGTTACTAATTTTTTTTATTGTTAATACAAATTACCCGAATTCACAAACGTTTCCAGAATTTCTAGCTTCTTAAAATTCAAAACGTAAAATTGCTAGAAATTTTCTTTAAATTGTTCCAATGTTTTGAAATGTAACAATTTTTTAGATTTCAACGAATTTATTCATACATGTATTTCTTAATTTGATGAAGCTTTGTTTTCAAAAACTTTACAAAATTAATCAGTTTTTAAAATTCACTAAATTTTCTATTAAAATTTATTAGTTTTGTCTTCCACAAATTTTCTAGAATTCTTTCGAATTACTCAAAGTTACCAAAGTTTTTAGTTAACTGTTAAAAAAATTATAACATTTTTTATGAAATAAAATTTTACAGATTTTTTTGTGAC